TATTTAGAATTAAAATTCTGGATAATACATGTTTGCTAATAAAACCTCCAGGGGCCGTAAAATAAGAGCTCGGTCACCTGACGAAGGTTAACTGACCATGGTCACCTAACCATCGTTCCACAAGGCCTTCGTTAACCTTACGACCGTCTTATTTTACCGGTAAAAACCGCCGATTGGTGGTTACCTAACCAGCAACCGAGTTCCTATTTTTCGGCCCCTGAAGTATAATAATTTAAGTATTTCTGATCTGAAATCTCCGTAAAATACAAAAATATTAATAAATAAAACACATAAAAATAATTCTGTTTTTAAGTTCTCAGAAAAATACAAAAAATAATTCTAATTCAAATATATTCAGTATTTTATTTTTGTATTTCTATTCTGTATTTAATTAAATACCTGAGATCACTCCAAGATACCATAATAATTTCATCTGAGGTATTAGACCTATTAACAGGGGAAAAGGCTCTCTATAAAAATTAAAATAAATAAATTTAAAGATTTATTTTACACACCTGCCAAAGAATTACTGCTTGCGCATCACAGTCTTGAGAACCATGAACTGTTACCTTTAATTAATTTTAAAATTATTTTTATTAATTAAAAATACCATTATAGGCAATGAGAGTGTCCAAACATCAAATTTTCCCAAATTTCCGAGCTAAAAAATTTAATAAATTTAAATCTTTTAGATAAATATATTATAGTGAAAGGGACAAGTATATAGAATGAAGGGAACAATACAGTTAAAAAATTTTTACTTGAAATGGAGTGATATGAAATAGAAGAGCATATCTAAAATATTTTTAAAAATTTAAAAATATTAAAAAAAATTAATTTTGTTTACTTTTGATCGGTAGCAGTCTGAGATATTTGACTGGTCTGTAGACTGCCCTTTGCAGGTGGTTTACGATGGGCAATACGTGTTAGTTTCTAAATTATTTATTTTTGTTAATTTTAGTTTTAAAAGCGTAACGAATCTAATAAGCCTTTTGCATGCTTTTAGGTTCTTTCAAATTTCAAAAAATTTTATAAAAAATCGAAAACCAACAGAATTATTAAATTTTGCAGACATATGTCCACGTTCATCAAGAATAAGCTTTTCAAGATCGTTACTAATCGAGCCAACGATTTTAATATCTTTTTCATTAATTTGGCCAGTCCCCAACATTTTAGCCTCATCTTCAGCTATTATTTTGACGGTAACATTTGTATTAACTAATTGTTGTTTTATTCCTAGACGGTCTCCAATTAAAAGACGAACCTTTAGAAAATACTTTAAAAGATTCAATAAGGGGATAAAAACCTCTGCAACAAATTTATGTTGAGTTTTAAGAACAGGATCTGGCTGAACTGCCACAACAAAAGATTGAGATACTAACATACAAAGCATTTTTGTGAGAGTTTCGAGTATTTGGGAAAGGTTATTGATATGTGTTGGTATACAATTATCTGATAATTGTGCTGGCCGCCGTAATAAATCCAACTAATATAAATTTTAAATTAAGAAATAATTAATTTATTTTAAATTTTATGTAATACTAGATTAATGACCATAACTTGATCTAAAACTGAGATATAAATTTTAATTTTTGGTTAGGTGATAAAAGGACACATATCAGAAGAAGAGAAAGGGAGGAGAATCAAAATATTTAATTTAATTTTTATATGAGGTATGTTTACATCAAGAAGGTACTTAAACACCTCCAACATCCTATAAATTTTATTAATAGTCCTATAAAAAAGTCCTATAAATTTTATTAATATATCATAAGAGGAAATTTGTGGCTACAAAATAGCTCTAAATAAAATTTCTAGCTTAAGTTTTCAAAAAGTTATAAATTTCCAAGTACCTGCCAATAAGCATAAGAACGTAATGTCCAATTATTTTCTGCTAAAACTTCAAATCTTTAAAAATATTTTTTTAATTTCCAAAAATATTTTTTTATTCAAACTCCGATTGAATTTCATCTAATTGTATTTCCCTCTGCTCAAAACCTAATCCAATCTGTGCAAGCTTCTGAGCATTTTTCCATTCCATTAATCGAATTGATATTAAATTATTTTGCATAACAGCAATTAAATGAACGCCGTCATTTAGGCGTTTTACCTGAAAAATTGTTTTAAAATCAGAATTTTTTCTGAGAAATTAAGAAAAAAATTCTAGAGAAATCAGAACCAAGTTTGTTCTCTGTTCATTAAGCTGTTCATATATTTGCTTTGCTCTTTGTTGCATTCCCGCCCTTAAAATCAAGTTTGTTTATTTTTACATATCCATTTTAAATAATTAACAATGTTTGTCTGGCCTGCCCCAACTGATCATGCCTTTGTTCGTGTTCTAATCGGTCAACCATTGACTGGAAATTCTGCAATTCATTTATATCATTTACAAAACGTCCCTGCATATCTTTATTTTCTTCCCATAATAATTGACAGTCTTTGGCTACTAGAGAGAGGGCCATTCTTTGTTGTTGTTCATTAGTGGAGGGAGAAACTGATGAGGTATTAGATGAATGCATTTTTTAAATTATTTAATTAGAATATTAAAATAATTTTTAATAAAAGTTAAGTTTGTAAAAAATAAAGGTATTTCCCTCTATAAAAAATAAACTTTTTCAAGTTTGTAAAAAAATATAATTAATATTTTAAGTTTGTAAAATAAAGTTTCAAGTTGTGAAAATAAACTAAGTTTTAAGCCCCCTAGAGTTGAAGGAGTTGCCAAGTTTCAAAGATGCAAATTTTTGTATTTTAACCCCAAATCCTGCCAACTTAATCCTATTACTCTGATTTTTTGCTCAAAAATAGGCAAATCTCTTAGGAACATAAAGAAAAATAAATTATATTTTGAAAACATTTTGTTGAATTTTAATAATTATTTAATACGCTTAACCCAAAGGGGGGTTAAAACTTAGTCTACAACCTACGTACATTAATAATTTTTAAGTTTGCAAACTTATTTTATATATTTATAAAGAATATGTACATGTTTGTGTAAAATGCCAAATCTCATTTTTTTAATTATTTAAAATAAAGAAATGTTAACATTTCAAGTTTATTTATTCCTTTCATTGTTGGTAAGATTATTGAGCTGCCACTTAATTTAAATGCTTTTTCTAAAGGACCGCGCGCGAGAAAAAAGGATGAAAAGAAAAAAAGAGAAAGGCTTATATTTACGTGTAAATAGAAATTGTAGCCATTTGCTTCAATACGACTAGATAGCTAAAAAGCGAGAAAAAAATAATTGGGGGAAAAATAAAGTGAAGCTTTGGCTGTTCCATTAGAACAGTCAAACGGCAATTCTTGAATAGACTTTTTTAAAAAATATTTTTGGTATCATTCAATAGAGAATTGAAAAAGCTACAAAATGAAAATTAAACCAAAATTTTAAAATAAAAAACAAAAAAGTTATGAACGAAAAACTAGTAAAAGTGTCTTATTTTACTAGTTTTTTGGCCATAACTAATTTAATTACTTATCCAAAATTTTAATTATTTTACTAATTTTGTAGCAAATTTTCTCCTCTATTTAATAATATCAAAAATTATTTGTTGAAACAATGCGTTGTTGAGTTATAGAAGCTGACAATCACACAGCTAGTGTCGTTTGCAAGAAGAGGACTTTCTCGGTTATTTTTAACGTTTATTCGTTTCTTTTTTTATTTGTTAATATAGAGAAGCTTGGATTAAGAAGATATGTTAGAAGGAGAGAATATTGGCCTTAAAGCTAGAGAAAATTGAAGAAAAAGAATAAACAAAAATTATTATTTTAGGCCAAAAATATAGAGAAATTGTAAAAATAGAGAGAATAAATAAATAAAAATATATTTTTGCTAAATGACAGATAGATGGATGCTGGTAGTAGAGTTAAAAAATAAAATAAATATATATATTCACTATTTGCCTAGAGCATAGAAACAAGCAACAATATTTAGTGTTTAGAAAGCTTATAGAAAAGTTTAAAGTTGATTAAAAGCCAAAACAATTAATTTCCTTTAATAAATCAGAAAACAAAATAAAATCAGAATTTGTAAGTATATTTAAATTTAATTAAATTACAATTGTAAAATTATAATTAATTAAAACTTGAAATTAAAATTACAATTCTTAAAACTTAAGTTTATTTTAGTTAGAAGCTTATTTTGACAGAAATCTAAGTTAATTTTACAAACTTAAGTTTTCCGCTTTTTAAGTTTTGTTTTTAATTTTAATTTAATTTAATTTTTAATTTAAATTAAATTTTAATTTTTAATTTAATCCAAATTTATTTAAAAAAAATTATTATTATTTTAAATTAATTCTTTTAATTCCAAGTCCAGTTATTTTTTTCTAAATATTTTACTTTGCCCTATACACATTCAAAATGATTAATATCTACATCTATTCTCACAATTTAAATCTAACCGGTTGGAAATATTAATGTCACCATCCCCCCATTGCTCTCACAAACAACGTTCTATTAAACGTGTACACTTTCATTTATTGGTTGGTTTTAAATTATTTAAATATTTAATCAGTAAATAAATTTATTTAAACAATTATAATATTTTTATTTATTTCTCGTTCTCTCTTTTTTTATTTTAATTTTTTTTAAATTTAATATTTATTAATTCCTCAAACTCAAAATTATTTAGAAAATAGAAAAATAAACTTAAAATTTAAAACTTGTAAACTTAAAAGTAATTAATCAAGTGCAAACTTGAAAATTAACGCTTTAATTTTAAGCTTAAAAAATAAACTTATTTTTAAGTTTGTAAAAATGTTTTTTCAAGTTTAATCTTAAGTTTATTTTAGTTACTTACTATTTCAAGTTTATTTTTAAGTTTTAAGTTTATTTAATATTTATTTACTCTTAAGTTTGTAATCTAGTATTTAAAGTTTATTTAAACTCAATTAATTTGTATATGTAATAAACTTGAAAAACAATTCTTGAAACTTTTCCTAGCAAATAAATTAATATTTTATGTATCTAACTACTAAATTAATTAATTTATTAACAATAAAATGAATATAGAAGTAAATAAATAAATAAAATTTAATTATTAAATATTATTTTAAAGACAACCAATTTTCTAAATCCCGCCTTGAGAGAGTGTTGCTGCTCTTCAAGCTCTTCTTTACCTTTACAACGTATTGTTCAATTATTAAGTGTTGGGGCATTTGAATTAAGAAAACAAATTAATGAGAATATTAAATGTGATAGACTTGAAAATGGAGTAGAGGAGAAGGAACAAGAAAAATATTTGAGTAGATTGATAAGGAATGAACTATTGCTTATTGAGGTGCTTAATTTAATTAAAAGAGGAGGGGTTTAATTAAAGAAAATATTCTAATTAGGGTTGCAGCTCGTTTGACCCGAAACTCGAAAGATCGAGCGAGCCGTGGTTTTTCAGCTCGAAAAGCTCGAAAACGAACAGAATCGAAGAAAACTACGCTTGAAAAAATGCACCGAACGTCGGCTTGGACCGAATACGGCAACCCTATTTCTAATAAAATATATGGAAACTTAAAAACAAATAAAACTTGAAACAAACTTAAAAAACTTAAGTTTAAATATATTTTTTATTAAGTTAGGAGTCGTAGACACTCAAAGATTAACAAGATGGATTAATAAATTTTACGATATTTATATGAAACAATTGTTAAATATGGAATTGTATTTTATAAATAAATTTGGTAAGAGGGTCTCAGTTAAAGATTTTATTTTTGAAAATTAATTTTAGCCGACCAACTCGAAAATATTTGCCTTAAATTAAATACTCATAGTCTACCACAAGTGTGTAAACCTAGGGCTTCTTTTTTGTTGTCAAATGGCATGTCAAACACTCTTGGAGATAAATTAGTGTATCAAGCAAGATCGGAAGTCACAGCACGTGTTGATATTGCTGGTAATTTGTTACTTGGAAAAATTATAAAAAAATAAAATTAAAAATAATGAGTGTTTTGAGATTATACTTTTTTATTAATTGTAAAATTAAACTTTATGGCGGTGTAGGCTCAAGTTTGTAAACTTGGATATATTTAATAAACTTGTATATTAATAAGCGTATATACTTAAGTTTGTAAATTAAAGTTTATTTAATTTTAATTCAAAAAAGGTGGCTGGACAGACACTCCTCCAATCACCTATCAAATGGGTAATATATTGCCAGCTGTACTTAGCCTTTCAATACTTGTTAACGGAAAAGTAATGATTAAATAGTAATAATTTGTAATTATTTGTAGAGGCCAATTCGTTGTAAATGTTCACGCCTGGAAATGCTTCAAGGAATTTTTTATAGAGAAAATTCTTTTGGGGAACAACAACCTTTGCTGGTTTTTAAAGATTATTTATTTTTAAATAAAGATCTGTTTAGCACTTTCCAACAGCCAAGAAAATATTTAAAAATTGTTGTAAACCTTCAGAACCAGGCAATAATCCAATAGCTGGCGTATAATTTAGAATTTAAAAAATAAAGGTTCTCTTCTGTGTGCTATTTTGGTGGTTGCCGGTTTTGTACGGGAAGAACTGTGGGGTGGAGAAAGGCATTATTTATTTTATTTTGCCGGACCTGGACGAGGATTGCTTATCGAAACAGAGTAAATTACTCAAAATTCCATCATATCAAAATCCCCGCCTTATATTTTCAGATCAGATTTGCCACACGGATCTGGCCTCGGTTCTAGTAGTATACTTGCTGGAGCACTTTTATCCTCCCTCCACAAACTATCAGGAAATAAAGAACAACAATTAACCGAAGACAAACTAATTAATCAAGTTTTGCAAATAGAACAATTACACACTTCTGGGGGAGGTTGGCAAGACCAATTGGGGGGTTGTATTTCTGGAGGTGCTAAAATTGGTTGGGTAGAATCTGTTGGGGAAAGAAAATGTTGTTGGCGTTCTGTCCCGCTTGGAGGGGAATTAATTAAAGAATTCTCTAAAAGATTTGTTTTGTTATATACAGGCAAAACTAGATTGGCAAAAACTTTATTAAAGGTTTTTTTTGGAAAAATTATTTGGAAAAAAAATTTTTATTTTTGTAGCAAGTTTTGTTGAGTTGGGCAAGACAAGAACCACAAATATTAGCAACTGTTGAAAGACTTGCTAAAGGAGCTTGGAAGGCTGAGGAAATGCTTATTGAGGGTAGGGATCAGGGGGTGACTATTTCCACCAAAACACTCAAAAATGTGGCAAAAATAGGGCGTAATCAGTAAGAAAAAATATGGGAAAGAATAAAGCATTGTTTTTAAAACTTAAAAATAATTAAAAATTCAAATAAAATTCTCGCCGGCGGCGCTGGTAGGGAATAAACCACATGTGTTTTTAGTTTTGAAATTAAAACTTTTTTATATTTTAACCTTTTGAAAAGCTGTTATTTTGAAAAATCCTTAAAATTAAGGCAAATTCCCCAGCGAAGTATGTACAGAATACAATGAACTGAAAAAAATCTTTGCATCAAATACAGAGCCTTCTCAAGTCACAGAATTAAAAAATTTAATGGAAAAGGAAAATTTAATCGAAAGTGCTTGGATGGCTGGGGCAGGCGGTGGAGGGTTTTTGTATATTTGGCTTAAACAAACAGAAAATAATGTTTTGGATAAATTAGAAAATTTATTAAAAAGTGATGGACGTTGGAAGGAAATGAATATTTGGAGGGTTGAATTAGAAGATAAACAACCTTTAATTGTTAATTAAAGAGAGTAATGATGTAGAACACCCCCCTTCTTCTTTTCCTTGCAAATTCTATAGATGGGCAGACCAAAGTCAAGATCAAGGCAATTTTTAGAGTTCTGCATCAGAACCAAAAATATGTAAGTGGATAATGGGTAATAGTAGAGGTCGTTTTAGTCCCGCTATTTCCTTTCTACAGTCGAACATTCACTTTAATATCAGATTTTTTGTGCCAGAGAGGTGACACATTATAATGAGGTCCTGTTGTATTTCCTTTACTTTATCCAGGGTAAGCTTAAAAATAATATTTACCCATCAAAATTTCTTTGGTTTACAAAAAACAAGAATTTAATGAAATAGAAAGGGAAAAGGGTCTTGAAAACGTTATCTATTATCTGATAATATAGTGATATTTTTTAATTTATTTTAATATTTAAATGTAAATAGATAAATCCCTTATTTTATTTTAACAAAAAAATTTTTAATCAAAATTACCTCAAAAACTCAAAAATAACCACCAAAAATTACAAAAAAATTTTCAAAATAAGAAGGCTTGCATATTTATTTTTTAAAAAATTTTTTAGAAATGATTTTTGAGTTTTTAAAGGCCAAATTAAATAACACAAACATTTCCCCCCGTTTATTCTTCTTTTTTAACTAAATAATAATCTTCAATAATTTATTTCTAATTTTTCGGTGAATGTGAACGAGTACGTTTTGCAATTGGGGCATCCTCCTCCTCTTTTTCTTCCTTCTCCTTTAATCGTTTCATAATTTTTGTTGTCTTTTCTTCTAACAATTTTGTGTTCTCATCGAGTCTAGCCATTTTTTCTTTCAATTTTAACATTTTATCTTCAACAAGTTCAATAATTTCTTGTGTCGAACGCTTAAATTTAAAATACAAAATAATTAATTTTTAAACAATTTCAACCTCCATTTCTTTAATTACTTTTTTCAATTCAACGATTTTTACCTAAAAAATATTTTTTTATTTAAAAAACAACTCAACAACCCACCCATTTTTCTTTAAACTTCTTCCCAATAAAAAAATAAATAATTGAGGAAGAAGTTAACAAAGCAATAATACGTCTTCCCCACAATTTTTGACATTCTTTTATTGACTTTAAACACACCGATTTGGTATTATAACAGTTTACCGACAAATTCTCCATCATTGAATAATCTGTAGCTTTGAATATATCAGATAGTAATTCAACAGGTAATTGTTTATTTTGATGTTTTGATTGAAGCATTATTAAAAATAAATTACAATTAGCTAAAGACTTTTGTGGACAATTTTTGTGAACTTATTCGAAAATTTGTAAAACATTAAATTTTTAATTAGAAAAAGTCACAAAAATCGTCATTCGTTAATAATATTAAAATTGAAATAAAAGTATTGGTCTTTTTTTGGCATTTTGTCATTTATTTATCAGTTGGGGTCAGTTGAGCGTGGCCGGTTGAGCGCCCCTTGTTATTTGGCTTAGCGCCAATATATTTTTACACTGATAAAATTTCCGAGAAAATGATTTTAGGAAAAAAGGGTTTCCGGAAAATGGTTTCTTGTTATTTTTCCCTTTCTGTTTAACTGTCATGGCCAATACAAGGCATTTCAACAAATGCCTTGTATTGTTGATTTACTTTCGCTGACTTTTACTGAAATGTTTGTTATTTCTTAATTTCAATCTTTCGCTGTTAGGGGTAATAATTGAAAGAGGGTAATAAAAACGGAGTTCTTCAAATAACCTTTTACAAATTCAAGATAGGCAGTTGGTGACCGGTTGCCAATCGGCACTCTCCGTTTTATTTTAATCCAAATTTTAAAACCGGTTTTCGGTTTTGAATTCTAGTCAAATATCGGGCTTTGCTTTGGGAGGATTTTAACATTTTTCATTCACCTCTCCGTTCTCTAACTGATCATTAGAAAAAATTGAAGATTGCCAAATATTTTACAAAAAATTTATTCGAACACATTTACATACAAAACAAATTTACAACAAATCTAATAGAATATATTATGAGACATATGTACATATTACACACAAGGAAATTTAGGAAATATACAACATATAAATGAATGCAAGATAACAACAAAGGAAAATATGAGTTTAGCTATTATATTCAGTTCATTTTTATCTCTTTAGAATTCTTCCCCCTCTGTGGCAGGTTCCTCCTCGGCCGTCTCCACCGGTTCTTCAGTGCGCGTCCCACCATCCCGACTCGGTGTTGCAACCAGTTTCTTTCCCGTATCATCAACCGGAAATGGCTCGGACTCAACGTTAGGCACGTGATATACTGAAAATTAAAGAATTACCCAAAGACTCCTTTTCACTTATTCGAGTACCTCTCTTCGGCTTCCGTGGTTCTTCCTCCTCAATTGGAATGAGCTTACACCGCTTATTCCAGAAGCCTTTAGCGCGCGTAAGTATTTCACACACGTCCTCGGCTGCGGTCGAGATCAGCTTCAGTGGAGGGGCATCCCGTTCGAGCTTGAGTACCACATTTTTCTTTTCAGTGATACTCTGTCGGATAGCCTGTAAATTAAAGGATTTAAAATTGTTTACAAAATTACTTGTAAAAATAACACCTTTTTAGCTCCAGAGACGTCGTCTTTCACTTCCTTGCCGTTAACGTCCCGCAATATGTCGCCTGGAAGGATGTACTGCGCAGCTACACTGCTTGGCTCAATGTGCGAGACGATGATATTAGATCCCTGGAATTGAAAGCTATTATTAATGACAAGCCCTCATTACTCAATCAATTACCTTCTTCTCCACAGTTATCCCAATTGGAAGATCTTCTCGCCATCTAATCTGCAGCTGGATGAAATTGTGGCTCGGGTTTCGCCTGATTTGTGTGACCTTGAGGTTGATCATTCTGAAGTAGTCGTCCCTGCGGAAACGGATGAACAAAGGCTTGGGTTCAGCGCCAGAATACTGGGTTGCTGCCGTGAAGTCTTCTGCCGAGTTTATGGCCTGAAAAATGGACGTTTAAACCGAGTATTACCCTAATAATCGCAGAAGCTTACCCGTTTGTCAATCTGCAAGATCCAGTCTCCAGGGAACAACCATCCAAAGAAGTAGGAGAAGATGTCGATCTTCTGTATCCGCGGCGGCGAGCTCCCACTGAAGAACGTCAGTCCCATGTCCGAGTCTTGGATCTCGATGGTATCCTCATGCTCATGAATGTACTTCTTAGCTGAAAAAGATAAAAAAGTTAGTTTAGAAAACAACCCTTGTATGATACATCCTCGTTTCTCGGCCATTGTACTGAGACGCGAGACCAAGAGTTAGCAGCACAGCGACGAACCAAAAGCGGCCTTTAGTTGAATTGAGCACAGCGTTGTCGTCACGAAGTGCAGTGAGTTGTAGTGTTGGTTTATGCATAATTTATTAAGGTGCTTTTATACTAACCCGAATTCTTTTGCTACCCAAGACAAAGAAAATTTTGAGCGACTTTTTTTCTCAACCCTTGACATCCCCGTTTTATAAACGCAGTTTTTCTAAGATCATTTTACAAATTCCGTCTTTTATTATTAACTGGCACCCTCGGATTTCTGTTAATCCTGATTTTAAAAACCGGTCTTCTGGTTTGTGTTTTGTTTAGATAACTGGTTATGGTTGGGGAGAATTTTAAAAAATCACTTATATTTCCAAAAAATTTTGGTTTTAAAACCGACTTTGAGTAACCCTAAATTAAAATATTTATATCTCCAGAAAAGTATAGTTTAGCCTAAAAAAGAATAAATTTTTTGAAATTAATGTAAACACTGAATTAAAAATTTTGAAATAATTAAAAAAAATTTTGTGTATATTAATTAATTGTGTAATTGCAACAATCGTTAAAAATAATTAGAATAAATTTTATAAAAAAGTTCTTCAAAAAATTATTTTACACAACAAAAAATAAATGAGAACAATCCTTCTTTAATTTCATTGTTCGAAAACAATTAAATTCTACATATTTTTATTATTTTTAAAGTATAAATACTCGAATTATCTTTGGGTTCTGAAGTAGTAAAATAAAATTTCAAATTTGGATTGTAAATATTTTTAATTAAATAACTGGTAGATTTTGAATCATTTGAATTTTTAACTTCTTTTGCTCTTTCACTCAATTTAAAATTTGGTTTAACAAGACATTTTAGGCGAATATCAGGCACCATTTTTGAACAGTCTTTAGATGTTGTTATATACTTAAATTTAAATTTAATTTAAAAAACCGGAATAACTTACTTCAACAAAAAAATTATAAAGTTGTGACGACCAATATGGACCTAACACAAACCGAACTTGATTTAATTTATCACCTCTATTTGTTAAAATATTAAGTAAAATATCCATATATTGCCCAACATGGTTAACAGTTGTAAACTCAATCACAAGAAATTCGTAAATTATTAAATGATCTAAAATGATGCCCAGCTTATTTCCACAAAATTCATTATTAGAAGAAATATATGGGCGTTTAATGTTAAATTTAAGAGTTTTGTTGGTATAAAATAATATACCGTATTTCCTATATTAGAGCCCCACCCTCTGTTAGAGCCCCACCCTTTAATACAGCCCCACTTTGGAGGGTAGTTGAAAAATAGAGCCCCACCCTCAATTAGAGCCCCACCCCTAATACAGCCCCACCTAAAAATATTGGAGGAAAAATAAAAAATATCCCAATAATTTTTAAGATTATTAAGAGTTAAGGAAATAAAGGGCCATGGGGATATAAGGATTAAGGGAAATATGAGGGATTAACTAAGGGGAAAAGGAAGAGATATAGTGGGTATTCCTTTTATCCCCGATAGATATCCCTTATATCACCGATATCCCTCTTCACAAAAAAATCCCTTCATATGCCTACTAATACCTCATTCAAAATATCACTCTTAACCCCGCTAAATCTCTCAATATAAAATTAATCCTCTGATATTCCCCATAATCCCTTAAAATCGCTTGTATACCTATATATGATCCATCAATGTCAAATACAAGTCCCCTAATATTCCCTTTAATCCGTCAAAATCTACAAATATTTTATAATTAATCTTACCCTCATTGAACTATTGCGATTATTTCGTTACTCATTGCTTATAAAATTTTAATTTTTTTGAAAAATTGAAAAATATCGATTGTCTTTCGATATTTTTTGGTTTTATCAACCAACCCCTCCGGCCTATCTCTAGTTGCAATGGATATAATAAATGGGATTCTATCTCAAAAGAGGGTTGAAAAATAGAGCCCCACCCTCAATTAGAGCCCCACCCTTTAATACAGCCCCACCTTGGAGGATAGTTGAAAAATAGAGCCCCATGGGGCTCTAATATAGGAAATACGGTATTTAGCATTTCTGGATTAAATACACATTTATCAAAATGGGCATATTCAAAAGCACATTTAAATAGTCGTTCTAACCAGCAACGAATAATAATCATTTCTTCAATATTTTTTGGAATGTTTGGCAATTTTAGAACATAATGAGGTTTTGTGTCAACTAAATAGAAAAATTAACTGAAAAATTGTATGAATCAGATGAGATAATTTGTGCCCTAATTAGGGACTAATTTCCACCTAAAATTAATGTAATATGTACAAGTATTTTTAGACCTGTCTTTATACATAAAATTAAGTTTCTGTCATATTCATACAACGGAATTGATTTAGATATCGCTCTCTTCCACTGAAAAAATAAAATTCTAAAATTTAACTAAAAATTAATTTCACCTTCTTTTTAAGTTGACGATTCAAAGTAAATTCAAAAATTCCAGATTGAGGTTCAATAAATTTATATGAACGTAACCATAGAAGATGGTCATAATCAATCTAAAATTAATTTAAATTAAAAAAAATAAATATATTTACTAGTAAAAGTTCGCTAAATTTTATTCGAAAGCATAATTCTCCCTCATATTTGTTAATTAAATTTCGAAAATAAAAATTTGTTTGTTTAACAGAAAATATTTGGTTGAAATCAAGACATTTTAATATATCTAGTTGAACTTCGAGTGGTAAAGAAAACATTTGAATGTGACCTAGAAATACAAAATGGAGAAAGTTTGCTATTTAGAACCAGAAAAATTGCAGTTTTATTATGGAAAATGAGGCAGAAACTAAATGAGAGTATTATTTATATCACTTACAAAGAGGGCGAGGCAAATTAGAGGCGGTCTTTTCTTTTAACTATAACTTCTTTCATTTTGAATGAAGACCGATAATCCTTTTTTTCCTGGATTCCTAATACTTTAAGAATTTTTGAACCAAAATCGCCTTTAAATTTTATAATTTAGTCTGATTAATCATCACTCAATAGTAAAATTTTTTGGATAAAATTACGCCTGGATTCATTGATATGAAAAATTAATATATAATTCGAATCAGCTCTTCCATCTGCGTCAAAGCCAGGCTTCTTCCACGTATATGAACCGAGATATGGTTCACTGAATGATAAATTAAAATAATTTTTGGCAAATAGGAATTTTTTGTGTAAACAGATTTACGAGAAAAGAAAATAGTAAGTAGATAATTGACAAATACTCGAAGCTTTTTTATAAATAAGAAATGTCAAATTTTTAAACAAATCAATTTATCTTTAAAATTACTAAACTTATCATTTCAAATTTTTATATATTTCTTAAAGGACAAATAAAATAAATAACAACCCCCACCCCTCCCATTAATTTCTTTACTATTTTGTAATATATTGAGAACGAGTACGTTTTGCAATAGGGCCATTCTCGTCTACTCCCCTCTCAGCTTTTCGTCGCTTCAAAATTTTTTCTTTCGTTTCTTCGAACAATACTTCTTCACATTCAGCCATTTCTTTTTTTAAATATGAAATTTCATCTTTAAAGAATTTATAACCTTGATGAGCTATGAACTTAAAAATTAAAATAAAATATATTTTTATTTAAATAATTTAACCACAAGTTTAGCAATCCCTCTTCTTTTTTGAAATATTGTTGCCTAAAAATATTTTTAAAAAATTTAAAAAACACTACTCCAACCTTTCTTTCTTTAAAATCCTTCCCAACAAATTTATGGACAATTGAGGAAGAAGTTAACAAAATATTCGAATAATAACTCCACAAAATTCCAAATTCTTCTTGTTTTAACACTAAACACAACTTTCTAAGTTTAAATAATAATGTTTCCATCATTGCATAATCTGTAGATTTAAATATATCAACAAGCAATTCTAAAGGTAATTTTGTATTTTGATGTCTTGATTGAAACATTACTAAAAATTAGTTTTAATATCCCGGATTGTTGAAGGAATTTCAAAAAATCATTATATTAATTAATTAAACATTTAAAAATAAATTGGCAATCAACCAAAAAATGATTCAAATATATTTTATTAAACAAAATAATTTTTTGGAAATTGTTTTACAAAATTTAAAGAAACAATTTAAACGGGAAAATAAATTAAAACATTAAATTCTAAACTTTTATTATTCTTAAATTATAAGTATAACCATTTTCTTCAGGTTCTTCAATGTAAAAATAAAATTTCAATTTTGGATTGTAAATATTCGAAATTTGATAATAAGTATATTTTACATTATTTAATTGATAATTAAAAACTTTTTCTGCCTTTTTGTTTAATTTAAAATTTGGGGGAGTAGAAAAAATAAGAGTAATTTCAGGTACAATCATTGAACAATCTCTCGATGTTGCTATATACTGAAATTTAAATTTTTTTTAATTTTAAAAATTATAGGTAATACCAAGAGTGGTCCCCCCTTTTTCTGTTCTGTTTTCTTTCATTTTCTATGGTAAATTATATCCATTCGAAAGAGCTCTTCGAGCTGAGTCGAACGATACTAAATTAATCGAAATCTGACTTTAATAAACATAGTTATGAGCTTTTGTTTTATCACTTTCAACGTTACAAAAACATGCCTATCGAGGATTTAGCTTCATAATTTGGTTCAAAATTGCCAAATCTAACCGATCATGGTATCATTCTACTCAGCTCGAACAGCTCTTTCGAATGATAGGATTGTATATAATATATCAGGTAAAAAGCTCAAAATGGTCAGGGAAACAGAAATATTATATTAAAAATTCAAATTATATTAAAAATTAAGGAAAAATTTCGGAAAACGAACAGATCCGAAATAGGTCGAATTATATGTCATTCGAAAGAGATCGTCAAGCTGAGTCGAATGGTAAAAAAATTTTTGTGCGGACTCATAGAGGGGCTGAGATATAGGTCCGCGAAAATCGAAAAACCATAGGGGGGACCAAGCACTTTTTTGGGGTGAAAATTTCGAAAATGCAAATAATAGCTCATTCGAAAGAGCTCGTCGAGCTGAGTCGAATGACACCAAAATCAACTCGAAATCTTGATTCTGAGCCGAGATAGAGGCTCAAAATGGTCAACGTAAACCTATGGGGCGTAGGCGAGGCGCTTGTGCAAAACCCCGCGCTTCGCGCGGGGTTTTGCGGCACGCGCCTCGCGGGGAGTCTACGGGCGATGGGTTCTGGGCTCGTAACTTAATCCTATTCCAATTATCGCTGTAATGGGTTATCTGGCTTCCTCCGTAGCAGGAAAAACCTTGACGGATACCAAAGGTAAGGAGCTAAAACAAACGATCATAACTTTGTCAAATCAAGTCAGATTTCGTTGATTTTGGTGTCATTCGACTCAGCTCGATGAGCTCTTTCGAATGATGTATAATTTGCATTTTCGAATTTTTTACCACAAAAAAGTGCTTGGTCCCCCCTATGGTTTTTCGATTTTCGCGGACCTATATCTCAGCCCATCTGTGAGTCCGCACAAAAATTTTTTCACCATTCGACATAACTCGACGAGCTCTTTCGAATGACATATAATTTGACCTATTTCGGATCTGTTCGTTTTCCGAAATTATACCAAAAATTAAAATTATATTAAAAATTAAAAATTCAGAAATTAATAAATGATCCAATGAAAATTTCAAAACATTTTCGATTGTTGTATTGACGGCCCAAATATTTGCTTTTTGAATGTTAAATTGAAGAGGTATTTGTTTGTCGTTATCAAATAAAATATTGATCATTTCTGGATTGAATAAACCTCTAATAAAATTGCAACATTCAAAAGCACATTTAAATAATTGTTCTAACCAGCAACGAACAATAATCATTTCTTCGATATTTTTTGGAATTATTGGTAATTTTAAAAGATAAGTTTTGTCAACTAAATATAAAAATTAATTGAGGCAGAAAATAATAAATATTAATTTTTAGACCTATCGTCTCTAACTAAAGAAATAATTTTCTTCCAGGTTCATTTAAAAATAAAGGAATTGATTCATCTATCGCTGTTTTCCACTAAAAAAATAAATTTAAATTAATTAAAAATTTATTACTTTCTGCTTAAGTTTATCATTCAAAGTAAATTCAACAGTCACAGATTGAGGTTCAATAATTTTATTGAAGGAGTCTGGTTTGTTGCTAAGCTAAAATAAATTTAAAATATATTAAGTGAGATTCATTAGTGAGATTTATTTATTTACTAGTGAAATTCCATGAAGTTTAATTCTTGCCAATTCCCCCTCATATTTATTAATTAAATTTCGAAAATAAAAATTTGATTGTTTAGCAGAAATTAATTGGTTGAAATTAAGGCATTTTAATATATCAAATTGAACTTCATGAGGTAAAGAAAACATTTTTTGAAAATTTGTTACTAAAATTAACTGAAAAATGCTAGAATACTTTATATTAAATAAAATGAGTTTAAAAATATTTTAAAATAAATTGGTAGCTTTTAACCCGCTAAACGATAATTTTAAAATAAATTTAATAGAAACAAAAAATAATTTAAAAGTCAACGAAAAACACAATTTATAAAAAATATTCTGTTGTCCAGTCTATTCTTTAATTCTTCTAATTATAATAGAAAGAGTTGATCCATCCTCAATTAATTCTTCAAGACAAAATGAAAATCGTAATTTTGGATTGTAAATATTTGAAATTTGGTAATTTGTAAATTTTACACCATTCAACAGCCTAATTTTAATTTTTTCTGCCCTCTCGTTTAATTTCCACCTAGGAGAATCAGAAAATTCAAACATAATAACAGGAACAATTTTTGAACAATCCTCACATGTTAGTTGTATATACTAAAATATTTAATTCTTAATTTATTTTTAAATATTGGGACACACCCAAGTAGGCTCGCGGTCATAACGGCGCAAAGCCATAACTAGCTGAAAGAATTCTGACACTTATCAAATTTTGGTACCAATCTCTTTAGCTCGATGAGAGGGATCGTTTAATAATAAATTTGGTAAGATTAGGAAATCTTGAAGCAAGTTGTGGCCACACGCCTACTTGGGCTGTACCCTTAATTAATTTACTTGTTCAATATAATTATAAAGTTTTATTATTCTGAAGCCTAATAAATAAATTTTTGGGAATTTATTTCCTTCATTTATTAAAATATTGAATAAAATATTTGTGTGTTCTTCTGTAATGTCAACACTTTCAAAATTAATATCAATAAATTCAGAGACTGATAAATGATTTAAACAAAATTTCAAAGCATTTTTAAATAATTTATTGTCAGTAGAAAGTGTTGGCCTTTGAATGTTGAATTTAAGAGGAATTTGTTTGTTGTCGTTATCAAATAAAATATTGATCATTTCTGGATTAAATATACCTCTAATAAAATTGCAACATTCAAAAGCACATTTAAATAATTGTTCTAACCAGCAACGAATAATAATCATTTCTTCAATATTTTTTGGAATTTTTGGCAATTCTAAAACATAACAACGGGAACCCTCTTCAACTAAATATTAAAATACTTTTTAAAAAATTAAAAATTTTTTTGGGTCAATTGAGATGGAAATTTGGCTAGAATTAGTGTCTGATTTGTTCTCTAAAATTAATTATTTACCCCTTGTTGGTACTTCCTAGCGACCTCAAATTCCCCTACATTTGGGGATGGGGAACGACCACAAGCAAAGATTGCCATTTTTCAGAAAGAAAACAGAATTAGGAGAGTTCTCCTATTACTTTACACACAATGAATTTAAACCTTTTGTCCTCAAATAAAATACTTTTTTGCCAAATTCATCTAAATACAGTGGAATTGATTCAGCTATCGCTAGTTGCCACTAAAAAATGTTTTTATAATTTAATTAAAAATTAATTTAACCTTTTTCCTAAGTTGGTCATTTAAAGTAAATTCAAAAACCCCAGACTTAGGTTCAATTCTTCTATATTGATTTGTTTGATAATTCAAGTCACGGGTAATCCAAAATTAATTTAAATAAAAAATATTAGTTAATAAATATTTACTAGCATGAGGCTATCAAATTCCTTCCGAGCCAATTTTCCCTCATATTTATTAATTAAATCGGAAAAATTAAAATTTGTTTGTTTAACAGAAAATAATTGCTTGAAATTAAGACATTTTAATATGTCGAATTGAACTTCATTTGGAAGAGAAAGCATTTTTAAATTAAAAAAATTAAATATCTAAAATTTGAATAAGCACTAAAAATTAAATTTTTAAACATTTTTTAAAAGTAAATTGGCAACCAAACCAACAAAAAAATTTAAATATTTAAAAAAATACTAAAAGCGATTTAAACGGAAAAATAAATGAAAATAATATTTTATTAAGATATCAAAATCCGAATTAAATTTTATTCTTTTATTATTCTTAAAGTATGACTATCTCCAACTTTTTCCTTTTCTTTAAAAACCAAATAAAATTTCGTTTTTGGATTGTGAATATTTTTAATTAGATAAGTGGTAGATTTCGAATCATTTGATTTTTTAACTTCTTCTGCTATTTCATTTAATTTAAGATTTCTCGGTTTAGTATAACCCAAACAAATATGAGGCACTATTTTTGAACAGTCTTTAGATGTTATATACTAGAAATTTAATTTTAATTTCGTCCTGGAAAAAGGCTAACTTACTTTTATTAGAAGATCATAAAGCTTTCCTAATTTGAAAAATTCAAAACGAATTTTTGGGAATTTATTTCCTCCTTTTATTAAAATATTTAATAAAATATTTGTATGTTCCACTGTAATGTTAACATCTTTAAAGTCAATACTGAGGAATTCAGAGACTGATAAATGATTTAAAGAAAATATCAATACATTTTCAAATATTTCATTATTAGCATATAAATTTGCTTCTTTAAGTTGAAATTTAAGAGGAATTGCTTTGTCGTTATCGAATAAAATATCGATCATTTCTGGATTAAATATATTTCTATCAAAATAGGCACATCCATAAACACATTTAAATAATTTTTCCAGCCAACAACGAGCAATAATCATTTGGTAAAAATTCTTTGGAAAGGCTGGCAGTCTTACAATATAGCAACGGGAATTTTTGCCACCTAAATAGAAAAATAAAATAAAAAATTTTTCGGGCCAATTGAGATAAAAATTTGAGGTTGTACAAAACCAGAGGCTACCTAGGCAATAAATTGACAAAAATTAATATATTACTTATTGGTACTTAATTAAGTTCCAGTGAAAGAATTGTTGTTTTCTGCAGAAATATGTAATACAATATAGAACAGGATATAGACTTCCGTATAATTATCAAGCACTATCTTTGTTTAACGACAGGACTAATAATAGAACGGTTGCAGAAATATGTAATACAATATAGACCAACACCAATATAACACACCAAGACAAATACAAAAATACCACTGAATTAATACTGACCAGGACTAATAACAAAAAGGCTTCATGCTAAAAAAGAATAACTAACACTGAACACGTTTACAGAAAAAAAATATTTTTAAGAAGACTATTCATTTTACAGATAATTTAAACCTGTTGTCCTCACATAAAGTAATTTGCTGACTAATCTATCCAAAAACAGTGGAATTGAACTAGCTATTGCTGCCTTCCACTGAAAAATAAATGTAAAATTTAATTAAAAATTAATTTATAACCTTCTTTCTAAGTTGATCATTTAAAGTAAATTCAAAAACTCCCGATTGAGGGTCAATGTGTCTATATGGACGTTCCCCACGAAGAAAGTCACGGTCAATCCAAAATTAATTTAAATGGAAAAAGGATTAATTAATAATGTATTTACTAGTAAGAAATGGTTGAATTTCATTCGTGCCAATTCCCCCTCATATTTATTAATTAAATTGTAAAGGTAAACATTTGTTAATTTAAAAGAAATTAATTGGTCGAAATTAAGGCGTTTTAATATATCAAGTTGAACTTCAGGTGGAAGAGAAAACATTTTACTGTCTGAAATAAAATAGGAAAATTTATTATCTAAAATTGGAAATTTGCAGTTTTATTGTGGAAAATGAGCGAAAACTAAAATGAGGCCAGTAAACAAGCTTTTTATCTTCTTAAAGATTAAACATTTCCAGCTTTTAAAAGAGCATTCGAATGAAAGAAAATTCACAAAAAAATCAAATATCAATCAAAATTTGGCTGGCGATCAACTGCCGCGCTCAACCGACCCCAAAATTCTTTTTGTAAATATGTTTGGGTGCCAACAATTGAGTGTCCCCCCATTGAGTGCGATTGACTTTGTCATTTGTTTTTCTTTCACGAGTTAATTTTTTTAGAGATTATTTTTAGTTTGTAAGCATTTCTAATATAAAATGGCTAATAATAACAACAGAATTTTGCTCAAGTCGAATGATGATGAAACGTTTGAAGTTGATAGAAGTGTTATTCGTCTTTCTACAACTCTGAATACAATGTTTCAAGGTTTTTTTTTATTAAACTTTTTGTGGATAGGTCAAATTAACAATTTTAATACCCACAATTTTTAAGATAATCAATGTCCACTGAATATATTTATCTTTTGATGGAGCTCTGTCAAAAATAACAATTTTTTTGATTTTAAGATCTCGGAATGGACCAATCAGATGCTAACGATGCAATGCTTCAAGAGCCTATTCCATTGGCTAATGTCAACGGAGCCGTTCTTCGTAAGGTTATTGCTTGGTGTCAGCACCATAAAGACGGTTTTTTTCTCATTTTATTAAATTCAATTTAAATTAAAGATCCTGTTGTAACCGACGATGCTGAAAGCAGAGAGCGTCGCACTGACGATATTCCAAGTTGGGATGTTGAATTTCTTAAGGTGGATCAGGGGACGCTTTTTGAGCTGATTTTGGTAAAGATTTATTTTAAATTTATTTTATTAGTTAAAAGTTGGGTTTCAGGACATTTAAGTAGAACACCCTGACTGTCGGTAATAGTTTGGCTGACTGGCCCCTCCTTTATATTTTTTTCAATTTGACTTTTTATTCCAATTTATATATTAGACAAAGGAGCTTTTTGAGCTCATTTCAGTCGGCTGGGACCAAGTTCATCGAAATTGTGCTCAAAATGGTCAGAAAAAAGAGGGCTGGTAATCCAAAATATTTCCTGGCAGTCATTTCGTTATTCAGAGGAACATTTTATTTTGAATATTTTGGGGAAGTAAAATGATCTTATCTTCCTTGTTTTTTATATTAACTCCTAATAGTATTGTCAGACATAAAATCCATCCAAAACAGGAGCTATATTATCTGAAACTCCTTATCTCCACCACTATTTAGTTTACAAATTTTCTTTTTAAACTAATTTTTTTAAATTTTTAGGCAGCCAATTATTTGGATGTTCACGGTCTTTTGGATGTTGCTTGCAAAACAGTTGCAAATATGATTAAAGGAAAGACACCAGAAGAAATTCGTCGAACATTCAATATTAAGAATGATTTTACTCCAGAAGAGGAGGAACAGATTCGCCGAGAAAATGCTTGGTGTGAAGATTAGAAAAGGGGAGAAGAGAAGAAATAAATGAAGGAAAGGAAATTATAAGAGAAGAGGTTTTTTTAAAAATTAAATATTGGGGAAAGGAAAGGATTAACATTTTGACTCAAATTTTGTTAAAAAATAAAAAATTTTTGCCCATAATTATTATATAATACAAAAACGAAATATTCTCTCTAAAATATTTTTAGACAAGAAAATTAAAGATAAAATTTATTTATTTTTATTTTAGAGAATATATTCTATAATACATATGAAAATTGCTTTTATGTTAAATTTAAAAACCTGTGTTTATATTAAAAGTTATTCTTATTGTTTTCAAGAAATCGAAGGTTCCATTAAATTAAAAATTGAGATATACCTATTTTTTCTGGAATTAGAAAAATTGGAGGTGTTCAATATAGTAAATCTTGAAACAAAATTTAGGAAACTATTTTCTAATGCTCTCAATAACAAAACTGATTTGGAATTCATTAAAATCAGAAACTGAGTGAAAAGGTTTAAAGTTTACTTTTGGGAAATATATTTTTTTATCCGAAAATAACAAAAGGGACTTTACTACTAGGTGTTTAAAAACAATAAACTCGAAAGACTCCAACAAACCCAAAAGATTTAATATTTACTTTTAAAAATTTCAAACTGCAAAAATATTAAAATAAAAATATAACCATAAAATTTAAAAATAATGGCACAAAATTTTTTAGAGTGTCTTTTTCCTCCTTGATGGGAAAAAAATTCAATTTAGAAATTTCATAAAGTAATTCCTCTATTTTTGTATTGAAGTAAATTTTGAGTTAATCTTTGCATTTGTCTAACCAACATTTCTGCATATACTTGTTCATACCAATGTGAAGAACGTCCTCTTTAAAAAAAAGAAATTTTTTAAAAAGAATTTAAATTAAATTTTGAATTTCGTTTCCCTTTTCCTTAAAAGGCGATATTTTTTGGTTTTTGGTTAGAAAGTTTTTGGGTAAGAAATTCCAACAATTAAGAATTTTGTCTTGAGGTTTTGGGTAAAATTCCAGAATTTTGTCTCAAATTAATTTCCATTTTTCAGTATTTAGTCAAACACAAACTTAAAGTCAATTCTCGAAATATAAATAATTTGTGAGAACCCGGCACATCTGGGGACAATTAAGAATTTTGATTCGTGGACATAAACCCTTTCAAAATCCCCTCCATCTAAATTGTTGTCATCCTCTTGTGAAGTAACAGAACATTCGATAAGTGAACATGTTGGGGACTCGTTCCCTATTTCGTTGTAAGTCCAACGCCTGAAAATATGAAAATAATATAAAGAAGTTTTTAGTTTTCCATAAACATAAATTAAAATTCGTTAGATATCGAGGCATTTGTAAAGCTTGAGGTGTCCCAGGAATACAGTCGGAAAGGTACAAGTTTAGCCCCGGGCAGGCATCACCTGGCAATTATTGCTATGCTCTTGCAGCTTTTTTTGTTTCACTCATTTGTTAGTCGTTCTTTAATGTTGGACAATTTCTCATGAAACTTTACAAATGCCCTCTTCCATTATTTCCTCCCGATAATCTATAAAAATTACCTAGCCAAAAAAGAGCATTTCCCTAAAGTAATTAAAGTTGGCTTATATTGAAAGCGAACAATATCAAAATTCTGTCCGGAAGGTCCAACACGTTTAATTCCAATTACATTAGGATCCCATAATGTTCTGAAAAAAATTTTTAGTTTAAAAATCCTCCAAACCTTCCATTAATTAAGACAGATAATATTAAATTAGGGGAAGCAGGCACACTTGTCTGAACCAAAAAAGATTTTAAATTGGGGGCCATATCGTTTATTGAACGCGTATAAATATGCGCCCCATCGGAAAATACTCGTTGTAATTTCCAGCATTTGTTTGTGTTATTGGTGAGCCAACCATTTGAATAATCCTATAAAAACATTAAATTGTAATTCTGGAAGGTTGCAAATTGTAATTCTGGAAGGTTATAAATTGCAATTCTGATTTTTAAAATTAATTCTGATTTTTACAAATTGTAATTCTGATTTTTAAAATTACAATTCTGATACTTTACAAGTTTTACTTAGTTCTGATATTTACAAATTGTAATTAATTCTGATATTTACAACTCCAATTAATCCCTCACCTCTTTAAGCCTGTGAAGCATTCTCCTCAATTTTTGATGTAATTCATCATTAAATTCAAATTGCCCATTTTTCTTTATTTTTAAACAAATAGCTCCATTATTAAATGTTCGGCATGTTTCAATTAACCGATTTAAATATTTATTATTTTCAATTAAACATGCCGGCAATAAAATTAATTTTTCCCATCCATCAATCATTGCACTTAATAATTGTTTTATAGACTCATAATTGTTTGTTGTAGAGGAATTGTTGTTTTTATTTTGTAATGTTGGACTTGTATTTTCCGTTGTTGTTGTTAAGTTTGTAATTCCTCCAGCATTCACTAAACTTATTTCTATTGTTTTTCGTCGCCTTAAAAGTAAATTGTAATTTTATTTGTATTTATAATTGTAAAATTCAAGTTGGAATATAAAATATTGGTATTATTTACAATTCAGAATTATAAATTCTGGTTTTTAAACGTTTAAAATTGTTTTTTTACAATTTCAGTTAATATCTACAAATTCTGATTTCTACAAGTTTTAATTAATAGATAAAATTCCAATTGTAATATTTAAGGTCTCGGATCGAAAAATGTTAAGTGTGAAAATAAAAAGTATCAAATTTGGAAGTACATAGAGGGAAAAATTTTTCCAAATATAATATGCAACAAATGTACAATTTAAAAAATTTATTCTAGCTTAAGTCTCTTATGTATATCCCTCCTCAAATAAATCCTTTTAGCGCCGAAGGTGAGAATTTTGGAAGGCAAAAAGTCCAATTGTAAGTACATACTATAAACTATTTAGGGTCGATTTGTATTTACTTCCAGATAAGTGAGAATCCGAGTCCTATTTAATAATAATTCAAGGTTTAATTAAAAATACAAAGGTTTATTGTCAAATGTAAAATTCAAGACTTACATTAATCTCCTTCTAATTCCATTTCCACCATTCTCCAAGGATAAAAGAGGAATTGTACTATTTTGTCTTTGTTGTTTTTGTTGTAAAGGTTGTGAATTAAAAAATAGAAAAATTGAAGGCATCCAACAAGTAGCGAGATTTAAAGAATTCATTTTATTTATATTTGAATGTCTGGCAATTCCACATAAAAAACGTAAAAGAATTAGAAGGGCCTCTCGATTTTCTGCAGGCAAAATAAGTATTGAATATTGTGCAATTTGGAAATGTTTTGGAGAATAAGTTGGGGGTAATTCTCTGAAAATACAAATTCTGATATTTTTATTTACAATTTCAATTAATAATTACAAATTCTGATTTTTGTTTTTACAAATTCTGATTTTAATTTTTACAAATTCTGGTTTTTATTTTTACAAATTCTGATTTTTATTTTTACAAATTCTGGTTTTTATTTTTACAAATTCTGATTTTTTGTTTTACAAATTCTGATTTTTTGTTTTTACAAATTCTGGTTTTTATTTTTACAAATTCTGATTTTTAATTTTTACAAATTCTGATTTTTATTTTTACAAATTCTGGTTTTTATTTTTACAAATTCTGATTTTTTGTTTTACAAATTCTGATTTTTTGTTTTTACAAATTCTGGTTTTTATTTTTACAAATTCTGATTTTTAATTTTTACAAATTCTGATTTTTAATTTTTACAAATTCTGATTTTTATTTTTACAAATTCTGATTTTTATTTTTACAAATTCTGATTTTTATTTTTACAAATTCTGATTTTTAATTTTTACAAATTCTGATTTTTATTTTTACAAATTCTGATTTTATTTTTAATACCTTAGCCAATTCTGAAGCAAACTAGACACTTTATTTGTAAATAAACATTCGGGTAGTGATCTGAAGAAAAGCTTGAGAGCATCACAAAGATCAAAAATTTGGGATTCTGCAAGTAAATGAGGGGGTATTGGATTGTTTGGAGATAATTGTGAACAGCAATCCTTTTTAAAAAATTAAAAAAATATTTAAAATTAAATTTAAAATTACTTTTATTTCTTCAATTCTTCCTTTTACACCTAAAATTTATCAAATTTGACATTATAAATTGGGCTATTGGGAATTGGAAACTTTACTAGGCTTTATCAGAATTATATTTATTTACCCACCATTTTTCCTAAAAAGCCATTCTGTCAAATGTGCATACCCCTCAATATATTCCATTATATCATGTACAAAACGAGGTAGAGGACTTCCATCTTCCGTTTTTGATTGAATAATGTTCAAAGGCATTCCACCAAAAAGGGCTTCGGTAATTTTGTTGTTGTTGGGTATTTTGTTTGGATTTAATTGTTGTTCATTTCCTTTTTTAGACAAGATTAAGTATATAATTTCTGATATGATTACGGTAAGACCTAATTATAAAAAACTATCTCAAATTGAAATTATCGTATAGACAGTCCCCCTCCCAACCAGAGGTGGGTCGGAATTCCGATTTCCAACTTTTGAGCCAGTTCCAATTTCCGGCTCTTCCGATTTCCGACACCTCTGACTGTTCCGACCCACCTCTGCTCCCATCCAGTAGCCAAACAAATTTTAGGATACCTATCTTGAATTTAGATATATCTAATATTGTGGGTATCTAGTTCAAATGACGCTTAAATTAAAAGTATTTCATAGAGAGATCTGACCGTATCCCCAAACAAATATGTATTCACCTTTTGTTGTGTGTAATTTTCGAAATCTACTCAAATATTCAAGTATCAATCTTTTAGGAGCACCAGAACGTGAATTATTATAAGAGGGGAAAGATTGTTCATCACAGATAAAAGAAGAGGAGGACGATAGAGAAGAGGAAGAACAACACGGTTGTTTAATTAATTTAGAAATTTGTTGGTGAATTAATTTCTCGTCGAGGTAATCCTTTAAAAGTTTGAGGTAAAAAGAAAGGAAAAAATATTAAAAAACCATAACGGGAGCACTTAAACTGTCAATACTGACAGAAAAAGTAGGAAAAGAGGAGTTTTGTTGAGAAAATAAAGAAGTGTCAGTATTGTCATAATTATTAATTGAAGAATCTGGAGAATTTGAAGGAGAAGATTGTAAACAACTAAAAGAAGAAAAATTAAAAATAAAGTAGAAGGTTAAATACTTGACAAGACTATCAGTTTCCTTTAATGGAAATCTTCTAGTTATTTGTACTGAAGCTGCTCTCCGGACATTATTTAGGGTTGTTGTTGTTGTTGGAGAGTCTCCAAAAGTATCAAACTTAAAAATAAGTTTATTTGAAGTTTGTAAACTTAAAGTTTTAAGTTTTTAAGTTTAAACTTGAAAAACTTTTCTCTTTTATTTATTTTTAAGTTTAAACTTGAAAACTTTCTTTTATTTTTTTCAAGTTTACAACTTGTTTCAAACAAATAAAGTTTGTTTGTATGTTTGTAAACTTGTTAGTGTTTCTAAATTCTAAATAAGCTGTATATTCAAGTTTAATCTTAAATCCTTTCTTTTTAAGTTTACAATTTGTTTCCCACAATAAAATTTAAAAACTTAAATTCAATTTAACTCTCACAACCATTTTTAATTCAAGTCTCAAAAATATTTTATTAAAGTTCTAGTTCTTTAAACTTTCTCAATTTTTTCTTTTTAAACACTTAAGAGATTGTAAAATTAATTTTTATTTCTCTACCTTTAATTGCCTTTCCTGACGTGAAAACAAAGGAGATTGATAGCAAGGATTTACAATATTTAAAGGCAAAGTAGCCCCAACATCGCTAGTAGACGCAAGTCGAGAACTAAACAAATCGTCGTCGTCATCGTAAACTGTACTAGACAAATCGTTTGGACGTCTATCCCCGCTAAAAGACAGAGGGGACATTAAACCAGATGTTGTGCAGTCGGAAGTGGCCGGAAAGGAAAGGGTGATTGTTGAGGAAGATTTTCCAATGGAACTTGAAGATGAGCTTAAAAAGGATTTGAAAATGTTGAAAAAGATCGAAAAATTGTGTAAAATTTAGTTGGCGGTTACCCGAAAGAACCGACTTTTTTCCAAACTTGTCCCTAATCCTTTTGGTAAGTGAGTGGGGAAGTTAAGTGATAACTTTATCTATAAAGACGTTTTGTTTAAATGATACATACAAATTTAAGGTACTCATTAGAAGGTAACAATTTTTAAACTCCAAGGGGGTATCTAAAAATCATTTTCGACTGTATTCTTTTATTTGACTTTAGTTTTTACTACCTGAGCATTTTTTCAATTTGCGAAGTGCCAAGGAAACAAAAAAGGGAATAGTTAACAACACTCGTTCAGAAACAAAATTTAGAGATCACCAGTTTGTAAAATAAATTCTGAAAAAAAAATAAAATAGAAATGTGCCCAAAAGTTCATCAAAAAAGAGAAAGTAAAGAAGAGAAGGGGAGGAGGGGGTTAATTTAAATAAAAAAGGGAAGGAATGCGAGAAAAGATGAACAAACAAAATGTTTTCAATTTTTTTCAGTGATTCAGAATTTTGCAATAAAAGAAGAAAAAGAAAAATTACAAAAAGGGAAAATATGTAAAAAATAAAAGGATTAAAGAAAAATTTAAGAAAAAATATTTTTTTTTGGAAAAAGTCACCAAAAGTTAAAATCGACCACACACAATGGAGGAAATAAATATGCACACAATCATGAATATGTATTATTGAATTGTGTTTTTTCTTATCGGCCAAAAAAAGTAAACATCTGGGACAAAAAAACTTTTATTTTAGAAAAGATAAAATATGTATGTACATTGTACAAATGGTGGTGGGGGACTAATTGAAAATAATTAAATAGATTTTATAACTACTAATACAATTAGGGTTGTCGGTTCTTGGAGAATCTTTGATATCCGGAACCGAAAAATCATCGGGTTAAGTTTGGTTCCGAACCGTAATAATAAAATTCTGAAATTAACATAAATCCTTTACGGAGAATTTCTATGATAAAAAAAATGAGAAAATCTCCGGCAAAGTATAGTAAGCTTTCCGGAATAAATAAACGAAACCAAAAAAATAGAAAAATAAATTTCAGAGAGCACTACCGCCGTAGTGTAGTGGTTAACACACTCGTCTTTTTTTAAAAGTGCGCAGGTTCGATGCCTGGAGGTTATTGGTGATTTAATTATAATTGTTATAGTAGTTATTATGCCAAAAAATAAATTCTAAAATTTTTAAAAACAAAATTTTTATTTAAAAATACAAAATATATGTAAACAATTTACGTTAAATAAACCCAAGAAAATCAATGTATTCAACAAATGAAGAAAAAAATTTTTTTAACGTCACAACTTGAGGGAAAACAAACTAGAAACACAATTAACTATAGAAGAAAACAATTTTCGCGCGTTTATTTGTTTAAAGTAAATAAATAAATTATTTAGTATAGTCTTTTTAGTTGATCTCGTTCACTCTAATAATTAATGATTTTGACTAAATAAGATTAAATTAAAAGAGAAAATGAAAAGAAAAAATTAAAAAAAATCTTTTAGAGTCAATTTCTTTTTATTTTTCCTTTAAAAGAGCACAGATTTTCTTCTTTTAATTCTACCGATTAGGAATAAAATAAAAAGGTCCTTTCCCCTTCCCCCTTCCATATTTTTTCCCTTCTTCCTACACATAACAACAATCCCTTTTGCGCTACTTCCACTCTACTTAAAAACACATTTCCGCTAAAATAAATTAAAAAAGTCTTTAAACTAGTAAATAGTATTTATATGTATTGATTTGAGTTGCTTTAAAGGAAAAAAATTGAAAGAAAATTTAAACAAATTTTTTATGGTTTTGTTGTTTAAGAGAATGTGTGTAAATATTTATTTATTTAGATCACTCTCTCTCTCTCTCTGACTAGCCAAAAATTTGTTATTTAATAAGGAGAAATGTGTTTGTAATTTAAATATCAACCCTACTTACATATTTCTTTTATTTTCTTTTAAACATTTAAAAAAGACCCAATAAATTCAATTATTCTAAAAAGGGAATTTGTATTTGCTCTTTCCAAAATTCTGGTAATCATATTTTGTAATTGTAAATTATTTGACATTGCTAAACCAAAGGAAGGCGTTTGGCTGAGTAAAGTTAATATTGGGGAAAGTTGGCTGTCCAAAACTGAAAATTTTGTAAAAATCAGAATTTTACAAAGATTAAAAATCAGAATTTGGGTAATGGTGTATTATAATTGGGGAGACACCTTAAAAATTATTTTTCTGAAAAATAATTTTATATGTATATGTAATCGACCATGCTGATCACGATCACTGAAAAAATAATTTTTAAAGTGTTTTTAAGGTGTTTCCCCAATTCTGCACCATTACCAGAATTTGTTTTTACAAATTCTGATTTCCAAATATTTACAAATTCTGATTTTTTATTAACTTTTTTACAAATTCTGACATCAGAAATTACAAAATTAAAATCAGAATCCCAAATTGTAATTTATAAAATTGAGGGAATTTGTAAAAATCAGACATTTAAAAATCAGAATTTGCAAAATCCCAACCTACCTATCTGCACAATCTCATCAGCATAAGGTATAATAATTTCTGGAGAGACTAATGCCAATTTTACAAGAAAAACAAATTCGTGCAGATTTTCACTTGTTAATAAAAATTCCTAAAAATTAAAAAATTAATTTCTTCTTTTTTCTCTTCTCACATTTAAAACATCCAAAACAAAACGTCGAAATTCAACTTTTTTATTTCTCTCCAAACATTTAAAAATATCTGAATAAATACGAAGTCTTCCAGAATATTCTTCATGGACTTGTGCTGCAAGTTGAACGTTGGATCTGCTCTAAAAATTGAAAAAAAATTAAAGAAAATTCCATTCCTTCCAACCAATTCCCCGCAAAATGAATGAAATTCTTCTGCCCCATTTTTCAATAAATTTTTTGCAAAGTTTGGAGGAAAAGATTCACTAAAATTTAAAATAAAAGAAAAAAATTAAATTTTAATAAATATATTTACGCAATAAATAAAGTTATCCAATCAAAGTTATTTATAAAAGCTTTTTGTGCTGAAATAAATGTTTGAATTGTTTTTTCTGGAGTAGAATTAAGCCTGAAAATAAATATAAAGGTTTTAATTTAGAATTAGACAAAGTCGGTTTTAAAACCTAAAATTTTTGGAAATATAAGTGATTTTTTTAAATTCATCCCAACCATAAACAGTTAACTAAACCAGAAAGCCGACTTTTAAAATCTGGATTAACAGAAAACGAGGACTGCCGGTTAATAACCGGTCGTTAGAGAAACTTCGTTTATAACGGGGATGTCAAGGGTTGAGAAAAAAATCACCCAAAATTTTCTCTGTCTTGGGTAGCAAAAGAAGTCCGGGTTAGTATAAAAGCGCCTTAATAAATTATGCATAAACCAACACTACAACTCACTGCACTTCGTGACGACAACGCTGTGCTCAATTCAACTAAAGGCCGCTTTTGGTTCGTCGCTGTGCTGCTCACTCTTGCTTTGGCGTCTCAGTGCAATGGCCGAGAAACGAGGATGTATCATACAAGGGTTGTCTCCTAAACTAACTTTTTTTCTTTTTCAGCTAAGAAGTACATTCATGAGCATGAGGATACCATCGAGATCCAAGACTCGGACATGGGACTGACGTTCTTCAGTGGGAGCTCGCCGCCGCGGATACAGAAGATCGACATCTTCTCCTACTTCTTTGGATGGTTGTTCCCTGGAGACTGGATCTTGCAGATTGACAAACGGGTAAGCTTCTGCGATTATTAGGGTAATACTCGGTTTAAACGTCCATTTTTCAGGCCATAAACTCGGCAGAAGACTTCACGGCAGCAACCCAGTATTCTGGCGCTGAACCCAAACCTTTGTTCATCCGTTTCCGCAGGGACGACTACTTCAGAATGATCAACCTCAAGGTCACACAAATCAGGCGAAACCCGAGCCACAATTTCATCCAGCTGCAGATCAGATGGCGAGAAGATCTTCCAATTGGGATAACTGTGGAGAAGAAGGTAATTGATTGAGTAATGAGGGCTTATCATTAATAATAGCTTTCAATTCCAGGGATCTAATATCATCGTCACGTCCGTTGAGCCAAGCAGTGTAGCTGCGCAGTACATCCTCCCAGGCGACATATTGCGGGACGTTAACGGCAAGGAAGTGAAAGACGACGTCTCTGGAGCTAAAAAGGTGTTATTTTTACAAGTAATTTTGTAAACAATTTTCAATCCTTTAATTTACAGGCTATCCGACAGAGTATCACTGAAAAGAAAAATGTGGTACTCAAGCTCGAACGGGATGCCCCTCCACTGAAGCTGATCTCGACCGCAGCCGAGGACGTGTGTGAAATACTTACGCGCGCTAAAGGCTTCTGGAATAAGCGGTGTAAGCTCATTCCAATTGAGGAGGAAGAACCACGGAAGCCGAAGAGAGGTACTCGAATAAGTGAAAAGGAGTCTTTGGGTAATTCTTTAATTTTCAGTATATCACGTGCCTGACGTTGAGTCCGAGCCATTTCCGGTTGATGATACGGGAAAGAAACTGGTTGCAACACCGAGTCGGGATGGTGGGACGCGCACTGAAGAACCGGTGGAGACGGCCGAGGAGGAACCTGCCACAGAGGGGGAAGAATTCTAAAGAGATAAAAATGAACTGAATATAATAGCTAAACTCATATTTTCCTTTGTTGTTATCTTGCATTCATTTATATGTTGTATATTTCCTAAATTTCCTTGTGTGTAATATGTACATATGTCTCATAATATATTCTATTAGATTTGTTGTAAATTTGTTTTGTATGTAAATTTGATTTTGGAATAAATTTTTTGTAAAATATTTGGCAATCTTCAATATTTTTCTAATAATCGGTTAGAGAACCGGAAAGTTTTAGGCGAATGAATAAATTTTGTAATGATACAAATGCCAACAATTAAGCTTAGGGCGCGTTTTTATTACCCTCCTTCAAATAAACACCCTGCCTGTATTACCCATTCCAACGAGAGATTGAAATTTAAAAAACAAACATTTCAGTAAAAATATTCTCCATCAGCGAAAGTAAATCAACAATACAAGGCATTTGTTGAAACGCTTTAAGCAAAACACTAGGCAAAGGCCTTTGGAGATTGAAATACGGTCTGTTGTGGTTTTGATGACTTAAATCGGCACATAATTCAAAAAGCCATTGAAGCAATAAAAGAGGGAAAGAAGAGGTTGTTTTTGTTTTGATTTCCCCTTTAAATGAATTTAAAGTTGAAATTAATTGTTTAACTGAAGTTTCCAAATTGGTGTAATCAACGCCTGAAAATTAAAAGAAAATGAATGCCTTCTTTAATGGGGGCGGGATTTATATTGAAATAAGGCAAGGAAACGCTTCTGGCTATGAACCAGACATGAAGACCATTAAGTTTAAGAAGGGAGAGAAATAGGAAAAATGAGTAGGTATTCGGGAAGTTTTCCAATTTTTCCAAGAACCCTTCCAATTCTCGGGCAGTTTTGTGTAATAAATATAAATCTAACAATAAGCTCTATTTCTCACCTTTCCCCGTTCCTTCTTTCCGCTCCTTTTCAGAAAAATATAAATGGACAGTTTCATGAACCAATTTAGCGATATAATGAAGAACGGCTCCTCTAAATGTCACATGTTATTTTAGAAAAAAATTTTTTAATAAAAAACCTAGCCGAAGGGACATTATTAAAAAGAATCTCCGCTGGAAGTACAAGTTTATCCGGATGATAATTTGCCCAAATAGGCCTCCCTCTGTAAATAGAAATTATATCGCCACAAGTAGCAACTTCAAAAAAACATTCAAAATTTTCTTGAAAATCTTTCATCATCTAAATAATTTATAAAAAATTTTTAGCGTACAAATCTAGGCTATAAGCTACTCAATACGCTCAATTTAAAATAAGTTTTCTAAATTTTTGTTAGTTACTTAATGGGGAAGGGATATCTGAATGATACCTAAGCTATTTAAAAAAGGAGAGGTTTAGGATATAAGAACAATTTCTTATCACAAGGTCAGACATTAAAAATATGATAAACAAGAATTTGAATTTTAAACTTGAAAACTTAAGAAAATAGGCTTAAACTTAATGCTGTAAGAAACAATAAGTATTCAAGTATAAAAACTTGTAATTAAATTAAAAATTAATTAAAAAAATAATTTTAAAAATAAACTTTTTTTTTAATTTCTAATAATAGAAAAATATTTACGTAGAAAAAAATTTATTTCTCAAAATGTTTAGTTTCCCTTTTCAAAACCCAAAACTTCTTTTAAACGATCTAACAGATCTTCCAGCTTCAGCAATTTGTTTTTCTCCACTTTTTGACGAGGCCCTTTCACTTTGCAACATTTTTCTTTCAGAAATTAACCGTTGTGCTTCTTCCATTTCAATTTCCATTGCTGCTGTTGTTCGTTGAGTATCCTTTAAAGAAAAAAAAATTTTTTAAATTTTTTTTAAAAATTTACTCGAATTTTTTCTGATCTAGTTTTCGAAGCTTCCTTAACAGAATAAAACATTGGGCCAAGTTCTGCTAGCCATTGAGCTTCTACAGCAGTAACACATTGCATATATTCTTTTGCCGTCATTATAAGTTCGTGATAGACAACATACTTTAAAAAAATAATTTAAAAAGAAAATCTGAAAAAAATTACATCAGGTGTATATCCCATTCCAAAAAGTGAGGATGTTGGGTGAAGGAAACAAGGCATTCCAGTTCTAACATTTGCATATTCACCAATACCTTTTAGTCTATAAAGAAAGAAAAAATTAATCTGTTATTTACCCATCATTTTTTTCTTTTTCAATTTTTACCCTTTCCCTAAAAATTATAATGGTCAAGGGTACATAATGGTTAACAAACTAGTAGAATAAAAAATATAATTTATAAAAATAAAAAATTTCCAAAAGCAAATTTAATTTCGGTTCGGAACCGAACAGAAGAACCGAGGATTCATCAGTTCGGTTTCAGATATACGAAGATTTCCCATCAAAAATGGTGTGTGGACATATCGGGACGGACATATCGGGATTGGGGTGATAATAATTTCCTGAGTGTTTACGTTTGTTCTAATACATAAAAACTCTATTCCGGACAATATGCTATCCAAGACCAAGTGCCCAAAATTAGTAGGGTAACTGTACATTGCCAATAATTGACAATTCTATCAATAAATCTTTTTAACCCGTTATCATTATACAACTGTGACCATTTGAAATTTCCAAAAGGAGAAAAAGGGAAAAAAAATCCTGGGAAAAATTAATCACAAACCTCGCAGCGTTATAAAAATAAGCAGAACAAATACATTTTCTAACAACATCCCAATCAGTTCCAGACGAATTTGTTTCGATTTTTAAACTTTCCATAATTTCAAGTAATTGTTCTCTAACTTCTCGAACTTTTCTCATTGCTTTTGCATGAATAAAATTGTCTGTACACCATTTAGAACTGTATTTATGTTTTTGCCATTGAATATAAGTATTTAAAAATGTTAAATGGTCACTTTCTGGAACCTAAGAAAAAATTTTTTAATCGAAAAATTAAAGGGATAAAATTAATTATCCATTCTCGAAGCCTTTCGGTTAAGCCAGATTTATAGACTTAGTTTTCGGGTTTAAAAAGAATCGGTTAAGCCAGATTTATAGACTTAGTTTTCGGGTTTAAAAAGAATCGGTTAAGCCAGATTTATAGACTTAGTTTTCGGGTTTAAAAAGAATCGGTTAAGCCGCAGATGTTTAGCCTTCGAGTATCAAAAGAATACAGCTAATAAACGATAAAAGGACAGAATTTGTTAATTTTTGAAGCCCCTCTCCCTCAAATAGGAGAAAGAGGGAAAAATTAGAAGGAAATGCTCCAAAAAGTGAACTTTTTTCGCCTATGACCGCCAAATTTTATTTGAAAACGGAAGAAATTTTCATAAATATTTGACAATTTTTAATCAAAAACTGCCAAAAATTTACGCCCGGTCAGAAATCATTTTCAAAAAATTTTTTCAAAAACCTGAAACTTTTCTCTTCTAGCATCAGCTTCATCTTCTCTCATTTTAGGACGAAAAAATATTGAAGGAACAGAGAGCATTGAAACTATTGTTAAAATTTCACTACTACAACCCATAACAACAGATTGAATTAACATTTTAGACAAGGTTGGATCCAATGGGAATTCAACCATTTTACGTCCCATATTTGTTAATTGTCCAGTATTGTCAAGTGCTCCTAAAATCCAAAGTTGATACATTGAATTTAACATATTTTCCATTGGTGGGGAATCCATAAAATGAAAATGTAGTAAATCTTCGACGTTTAATGATTTTCTGAAAAATTAAAAAAAACAATGTTTTTTAAGTAAAGATAGTCAAAACTCGTTTTTGAATACTTCCTCGAAATTTTAGGAATTAATAAACATTTATTAAAAAATTGGGTGGTTGTCAGGGATGACACTCGTTACCCGAAACCCTTCAAAAAAATTTTGAAAACCCGACCCGATTTTTTTTTCAACTCTTCACATCGAGGTGTGATTAATTGTTAGAAACCGACGAAGAGATACAATTCAAGTTATCCACTATACAATTTTTTAACCCCAAGGTGAAAACGACAAGTTTAACTGTACTAAAAAATATTTTAATAACAAATCCTCATACAATAAAAGAACAACATTTGACAAATTTGTTCTTTGTATTTCCGGCACAGTAGTAGCCAACATTTCATCTTTAAATTGTCTTTGAGTATATAGTCGATAACATTGGCCAGGGCCTGTTCTGCCTGCTCTACCAGAACGTTGATTAGCAGATGCTTGGGAAATAGGGAAAACCTTGAAAGAATAATCAGAATTATTAAAAAAATTCCAAAGAAAACCTGTAAAGTATCCATTCCCATTTTTGGATTGTAAACCTTCAATTTACAATAACCAGGATCAACAACAAAGAAAATTCCATCAACAGTTAAAGAAGTTTCCGCAATATTTGTAGCAACAATACATTTACGCATTCCACCCGGAGCACGTTGAAATATTTTTGCTTGAAGGTCAGAAGGAAGTTGTGAATATATTGGTAATACAGCAAGAGGAGGTGCTTCATCTAATTGGCCAAGTTTTTCTTTTATAAGTGAGCAGGTTACCTTGAAAATATTTTTTTATAAAAATGGTGTTTTTAAGGTATCTCCATCTATCCCTTCTCCTTTCTAAAAAATATTACAAATGTGATTTGAATTTTTTGTAGGAATTACTGTTCGTTAGTCAATTTTCATGACCATTATTCACCCAAGGGCGTATCCAGTGGTTAGATTTCAGGTGGGCTAAAATAGGAGTACACATTTGGCCATTTCTAATACTCGAAAAAAGGGAGGTAATACAAAAAAATTGGAGCAAAAAACTAAAAAATCCAAAAAAACAACCTCAATATCTTCCTGTCCAGGCATAAAAATTAAAATATCCCCTTCCTGTCCACCCAAATGTATTTGTATTGTTTGTTTAACTGCTGCATCAACATGATCTTCTGCTGGTATTCTTGCATGATATATTTCTACAGGAAATGTTCTTCCAGGAATTTGAAAAATTGGTGTATGGCCACCAAAGAAATGTGAAAATTTTTCGGCATCCATAGTTGCCGAAGTTACAATTAATTTTATATCGGATCTAATTAAAATTGGGTAATGAAAAAAATAAATTGAAAAAATTAATAAATACCTTCTAGCGACAACATCCCTGAGCAGTCCAAAAAGAACATCTAAAAATAATTATAATCGAACTCGATTTTACAACATTCTGGAAATGAAGAACTGAAATGAACCTAAAATTGGAGGTAGCGTTTAAGCATGACCGCACCAAGGGCGTAGCCAGGGGGTATTTCGGGGAACGGGGATACGCATTTATTACGCACATCTAATGGACAGTCTTAACTACTTAAATGAACGCGCCTAAATTGAGCACACTCACTACCGGGTGAACTAAATACTAAGGTCAACTTGTAAAAAACAACAATCGAATAACCTGTATTTAATGACCGTTCGTGTGCCTCATCCATAATTATAGCAGAATATGAGTCCAAATCGGGATCTCCAAGACATTCTCTTAGCAAAATACCGTCTGTCATGTACTTAAAAAATTTTTTAATCTAAATTGATTTAAATAAAAAAACCTTTATAATGGTTTTGTCAGAAGTACAATCTTCAAATCGAATTGCATATCCACATTCCTTAAAAATTAGAAAAATCAGAATAGGATACTTTTGAAAATTTTTTTTAAATTGAAAAAAAAATTCCAAATATTTAATAAATTATGTAGTAATCCCAAAGAAGAGCAATGAAATTTTATTATTTTTTTCCATTCTCTCCTATCAAAATTTCCCAAAAAATTTCTCAAAGGAAAAATAAATAGTCCTACAAAAATAAGTTAAGAAAAGGAATCCCATATAGGGCCCCAATTTTTAGATGACTCTTTGAAGCTCGAAAAATCAGGCCTAATTCAAAGGATAAGGAATATCACTTTATAGCCTTTTCCCCACCTATTGGTAAAGTAAATTTAAAGACCAGTCCTAAATATAAAAGTACCTAATTTTAGGTGTCTAAAATTTAGGTTCGACCAGCATCTTTAAAGATAAATTTAAAAAACCTGTCCAAGTTCAACACCCATTTCTTCAGCAACTCTTTTAGCAACAGACATTGCAGCAACTCTTCTAGGTTGAGTACATCCAATAATTCCTCCTCCAATCTTTCCATAACCATCTTCCACTAAATATTGTGTTAATTGTGTTGTTTTTCCACTTCCAGTTTCACCAACAACAATTACAACAGAATTTTCTCTAATTACTTGTAAAAGTTTTTGACGAACAGCAAATACTGGTAAATATTCTCTTTGCTCTTTTACCGATTTTTCCATTGCAAAAATCGACACAGCTTCTGATTCTTTTAAATGAGAAGCGAATTGTTGGGATTCTCTGAAGAAAAAATTTAATTATGAAAAATATTTTTGGTAATTTTCAGATTTTTTTAAAAGATGGCTCCAAAAATTATAGAAGTTCCAAATAAATACCCGAAAAATTATAAAAATTTTGGGGAAAAATTTAGGAGAGGTAGCGAAATCGAGGGAGGAGCCAATGAACACGAAGAAAATTTAATAGCATCGCAACAGGGTAGGAAGGGGTAAGACCTAGCTTTTAACTTGCTTAAAAATCCAAAAAAATATAATTATACTTATAATTAGTAGATTCTGTTGGTTCTTGTTCTTCTTTAGCTTTAACTCCCATAATTTCACCAATACGAGTTCCTGCCAATTCCCAATGTTTTTCTTGTGCTTTTAACTTTTCTTGTTGTTCTCTAAAATATTTTACTTGTTTGCTTCCTTTACTCGCTGTTATTGCCAAATCTGAAGTAACATCTTTTACCTTAAAAAAAATTAAAAATTCCTTTAAAAAAATCCAAAAATTCATACAGGAATAACAGGCATTGTTTGACAAGTATAAGCTATTCTACCATCCAAAAATGGAGGTATAATATTATGTACAAGAAGAGAAACACGATTTTCATCTGTTTCGTTGTCGAAAACAGTGTCGTATTCTTCAGAATTTATTACAACACCTAAGAAAGAATTTTAGATTAAATAATAAAGTAGCAGATACTCCCTTTACTATAAATCCTATTACAGATCCCCAATCTAATTACTCTTAAAGGTAATCAAATCGGTCTCGCCTTACTTTAAATGTTAAAAAGGGACTAAAATTGTAAGATCTAAAACGGAAGAAAATAAAGAAAATATAAAGAACCCTCATATAACACGCAGAAAGTCCCAAATTTTTAATTAAAATTTTCAGAAAAACCTGAACGTGCCAATCTATTATTTTCCCACATTTCATTTTCTTTTTTTATTTGTTGCTGTTTTAGTGTTAATCTAGGTTTTTGTCTAGTTTGTTCCATTTGTTTTTCTCTTTTATCAACATATTCTTGTGAAATGTGTGCAAAAGGATTAAATTCATCGTTAAAGCCTTGATCACTTTCATACCTATTTTAAAATAAAAATTAGTCAAAAATAAAAAAATGAAAAAAAAGTATAAGCAGCCTTTTTGCTAGTTTCTTTCAGTTAGCCTTTGGTATTCAATTATTGTAGTTAACAAAGAATAACTTTATTTATATGAGTAGGGGTGTCGGTTCCTGGAGAATAATTAAATCTTTAAAATCGAACAGAAGAACCAAAAAAATCACAAGCTTTTGGTTAAGCTTCGAACTGGCAACCCTACACATAGATGACTCGTTTTTATTGATTAACATTCATATCTAAATAAGCCCTTATGAGCCAAATGTTGTTAAAACAAGGAAACGACAAAAAAACCAATAACTATTTTACACGAAATATTTAATTAAAAATTTGAATAACCATTCTCTATCCAACATATATTGCTCATTTTCCCATTGTTTGCGTTCACTTTCGTTTTGGAAATGAGGTAATTCGTCATACTTTGGCTTCGTGTCCCCATAACGATAACGGTGATGTCTAAAATTTAATTTCAAAAAATTTGGAAATTTTTAAAATTTTAAAGCTTGCAAAATCATTTAAATAATTCCAAAAAAACCTCTTTTTATAATCCTCTTTCTGTCTTTCTCTTTGTGATTTTAATATACTTTCAATATTTCTTTCAGAATCTCCATATTTTCTTTCCTTCAATTCTTTAGGCGTTTCAAAATCCCAACCGCTTCTTTTTGCAGATTTATTTATTGAAAGATCGTCTTCTTCCCAAGTTGAACAGGAAGGGGTATTTGGAAGCTTAAAAATTAAATAAATTAGAAAAAAATGTTTAAATTTAAATTAGAATCAATTCGAAAGTTTTGCCTCTAAAATTAGAAAAAAGAACTCGAAAAATAAGCCTCGACTAGGAAATATTAAATCAAAAAGATAAGAAAAATTTAAAAATGTAAAAATCAGACCTGTTCACGGATACGGATACAAATAATATCAGGATGCCTGCGGATATCCGCCGTAAATATCCGGATATGGATACCAAAATCCGTGTCCATGCACAGGTCTGGTAAAAATGATTTAAACCCCACAAACACTTTTGAACAGAAATTGTTGTTCTTTTGCAAAGAAGTGGGAAAACTTATTTGTATAACTCTCCTCTTCTAAATTTTTCAAATTAAAAAGAGTAATCCCAAAAAAACCAAAAATATTATTAAAAACCAAAAAAACCTTAAATTTAGGAGTTTCAACATCTCTAAAAGAATATTTTTGTTTTTCTTCTCTTCTTTCCCTTTTATAACGTTTGTCATAATAATCCTTTCCAGATCTTCTTTCCTCTCTTTTATTTTTTGTATCAGCTTCTATACCTCTATGGTCAATTCCTTTATATTTTTCTTTGACATATCTTTAAAAAAACAAAGGAATTAAAATTTTAGAAAAATTTTCCTTAAAACCCAGTGATATGGAATTTAAATAGGAGGAGGTTGTAGATGAAAATGTGGAGGGAATGAAGAGGTCAGAAAATAAATCTGTCTTAAAACAGAAATTTTGAAAAGAATGGTCATTGACTATTGGAGTAAGAAGAAAATCCTCCAAAGGACTGATAAAATCAAATCATGTATCTGAATATGATGGGAAATAAGTATTCTAAATTTAGAGTAAATTCTAGAATACCTTTTCCAAAAAATAAAATTCTTATTCTAATTGTAAGTTTATATCAGATAAAAATCAAATTCTATGTCGACCTTCAGTACTCGCCCAGGAAATCTTAATGTTAAAAATAAAAAAAAAATTCAACCTTTTAAAAATATTCAAACCTTTTAATTTCTTCTCGAACACTTTCAGACAATCCAGGTGTCTCATTCCCTTTCTCTTCATCAATAACTTGTCTTTTACGTAAATTTGTAGTTAATTCTCGTTTTGATTTTGCCAATTTATCCAATCCAAGAATTGAAGGCTTTTTGAAATTCTTGTCATCTTCCTCTTTATTTTCTTTTTTACGAATTAACAACCCTCCACGTTCATTCCCTGTTGTTCCTTCTAAAATTGATTCGACTTCCATTAGATATTGAACCTAGAAATATTAAATTAAATAAAAATTAACTGAAGAAAATCAAGAAAAATCAAGCACACTCTGAATCGTTCGGCACTGAAACGACCTTTTACCGAGTTTTCTCTCTCTCTCTAACACTCTCCTCATTTTACTTTTTCTCTCATTTTCCACAGTAAAACTGCAATTTTTCTGATTTTAAAAAATAAATTTTTAGGACTTTTTTCTCGTTTTCTAGATAATTAAAATGTTTTTTCTTCCGCCTGAAGTTCAATTGGATGTGTTCAAATATCTTAATTTCAACCAATTATTCTCTGTTAAACAAACAAATTTTTATTTTCGAAATTTAGTTAATAAATATGAGGGGGAATTGGCAAGGAAGGAATTTTTTGAACTCTCAATAGTAAATATTTATTTATTAACTAATTTTATTTTTCAATTTTTTTAGATAGGTGAAAGTGAAAAGTCTCGTTCATATACTCAAATTGAAAATAAATTGGGAGATTTTGAATTTACTTTAAATAATCAACTTAGAAAGAAGGTTTAGAAATGAATTAATTTTTAATTAAATTTAAATTTATTTTTAGTGGCAAAAAGCGATAGACAAAGCAGTTCCTTTGTTTTTATGTAAATCTAGCAGCAGTTTACTTCTTTATATGAAAACATTTGGTTAAAAAATATTTAAAATCGACTGCGTCTGAGTAGTTTTGACCTCACACAGTTTTAGCTACCGATCGAGTACCGAGTAATTGGGAAAAACGCAGACTCGATTTACACCGAGTCTGTCTGAGCAAGTATTAGGATCCTCCCTCCAAGTATTAGGATCTCAAGTCCGAGCAGCTGTTAAAACTGGGTGATGTCAAAACAACTCTGGCGCAGTCTATTTTAGATAAAATAAATTTTAAAAGATTTTCAAATTTATTTTTTTCAATTTAGTTGACGGAGGTTCTCGTTGTTATATTTTAAAATTGCCAATAATTCCAAAAACTATTGAGGAAATGATTATTATTCGTTGCTGTTTAGAACAACTATTTAATTGTGCTTTTAAATATGCTTATTTTTATTGTTTATTTAATCCACAAATTATCAATATTTTATTTGACAACGTCCAAACAATTCCTTCTCTTCAATTTCACGTTCAAAAATCATATTTATTTGCTACTAGCAAAACAATTGAAAATATTTTGGAATTTTCTACAAATCATTTATCTGTCTCGGAATTCCTTAATATCGATTTTACAAATGTTAACATTACAAGGAAATATACAAATATTTTATTCAATATTTTAATAAACGAAGGAAATAAATTCCCAAAAATTTGTTTGACAAGTTACAAGTTAAAAAAGCTTTATGAAATGATTATGGAGGTAAGGTTAAAAACAATGCTGAGTATTGGGCATTTGTTGGCTCCGGCTCCGGGCTTTTAAAATCTTTGCCCCGCTGGAGCCCGGCTCCGGGGCTAGCTCATGGACTAGCTCACCAGCTTCGGGGCTAGCTAGCCTTACCCAGCACTGGTTGAAAATACAAAATTAAAAATTAATTTTAACATTTTAGTATATACAAACAACATCAACAGATTGTTCAAAAATGGTTGCTTTTATTAAATTAAATTGTGTTTCACTTCCAAATTTTAAATTAAACGAGAGAGCGGAGAATATTGAAATTGGCCAAGGAAATAATGCAAGTAAATATACAAAATACCAAATTGCCAATTATTACAATCCAAAATTGAGATTTTCAATTTGCAATAATGTATGGAGTAGTAGTGAATCATTTTACATTCAAATCAAGAAAATGAAAGCGTAGTAGTTAAAAAACAAAAATAAAATTTTATTTAATTTATTGGACGACATAATAGGGTTAAAAATTTGTTGTTTTTTCATTGATTTTCGATTAAATTGTTTTTGTCAAAATTTATTTTCATTATTATTTAACAAGTTAAAGCTTGTAAATTTATTTCTAAATATTTTGAATACATATGTATACATTTTTTTAAATATAAAACCTTTCTCCTTTTTTGCATTTGTTATCGATCGATTACAAAATCTCATGTTTAAGTCAATTCAGTGTATTTCGAAAGGTCTATGTATAACTGCGGAAACTTTTTGAACTGTCATGATCTGCGTATTTTACAAAAATAAGTGAGTGACAAATGACAAAGACAGATAAATCTATGTATTTTCCATTTGTAACTTATTTGTGTGTGTAGTGTTAGATCAGAAAACTATTAAAAAGATGCCGCTTTCGGGATAATAATAATTTGAAGCGGCTACGCTGAATTGACTTTTACCGGTTTTGTCTAATTTCCTCGAGTTTGTTTTCTCTCGTTTCCACAATAAAACTACAATTTTTCGATTTTAGGAGAATTTTGATTTTCTCATATTTTCTTTTTAAGCAATTAAAATTAATATGTTTTCTCTTTCAACTGAAATTCAACGTGATATATTAAAATATCTAAATTTCAACCAATTATTTTCTGTTAAACAAATCTGTACTTTTCCAATTTAATTGATAAATATGAGGGGGAATTGGCAAGAATGAAATTTCATGAAATATTACTAGTAAATATTAATTTAATTATATTCCTTTGTAATTTATTTCAGGTTAATACAAATCCCAGGTTAAATTTAGACAAATTGATTGAACTTAAATCTGGAGTTTTTGAATTAACTTTAAATGATCAACTTATGAATAAAGTTAAAAAATTAATTTTTATTTAAATTATAAATTCATTTTTCAGTGGCAATCAGCAATAGACAAATCAATTCCATTGCTTTTAAATAATTTTGGATGTGGCACAAAAACCGTTCGTATTACTACAGGTCCACAAATATTTTTATGAACTTTACATTCTCCCAATTTTTTCTTTTAAAGTGCGGGGTAGCATATCCCCTTGGACTTGCCTTTGTTTTACTAAAACTTTTTTAATCTATAACCTATTAACACTTTTTTATTTTCTATTTAGTTGACAAAAAACCTTTTCTTCTAAAATTGCCAAACTTTCCTAAAAATACTCAAGAAATGATTATTATTCGTTGCTGGCTGGAAAAACTATTTAAATGTGTTTTTGAATGTGCTTGTTTTAACCAAAGCTTATTTAATCCAGAATTGATCAATATTTTATTTGATAACGACAAAATTATTTCTCCTCAATTTAACATTTTAGAAGCAAATGTCTGTTCTAACGACAAAACGTTTAAAAGTGTTTTGAAACTGACTTTAAATCATTTATCAATTTCTGAATTTCTTATCATTGATCTTACAAGATTTGAACTTACCGAGCAACACATTGATATTTTATTCAATATTCTGATAACTGAAGGCAATAAATTACCAAAAATTTGTCTTAATTGTTACAAGTTAAGAAGGCTTCATGATCTTATTTTAAAAGTAAATTGTCTAAATAAGTTAAAAACTAAATTTAAATTTTTAGTATATAACAACATCTAAAGACTGCTCTAAAATTGTGCCTATTATTATTTTTGATTTTATTTTATACCCAAATTTTAAATTAAATGAGAGAGCAGAAGAAGTTGAGGTTCTTCAATTAAGTACTAATACAAAATCTACAAAATATCAAATTGCCAATATTTACAATCCTAAAGTGAGATTTTTATTTTGTAATGAAGGAGGGAACAATGGATCGGTTTCATACATTCAAATTGAAAAAATGAAAGAGAATCTCAGAGGATGAAAATTGAAATTTATTTGATTTACTAGACAATAAACATTTAAATAATTATTTTTCATTGGCTTTCGATTAAATTATTTTTGTTTTATTTTTTTGGGTTTCGGTCTTATCAAAAAATATTGGGCGCGGCAAATTAGCGGCAGCTTTGAAGTTCGATAATTCTTTTTTTCATGGTTTCCCGATACTCTAAAAATTTTTTTGATACCAATAAGATTTTAACCCTCATCGAAACAAATTTTATCCGCAGATGCGGGTTCTATTACCCGAGTAACTAACCATAGCCTGGGTTATATGAATAAGGGTTATTCGCAGCTGAGGATTGGTTAATCCCTTCCACGCAAAAAATCTTGTATTAATTGTATTAAATTAATGTCTTTAAAAATTAAATAAAGGGTAATTTTTTAAATAAAAAATTTTATTGCTCAATTCAGGACATATTTTAAGTGTTAATGGGTATTTTTTGAACAATTTCTTTTTAATTTGTTTCTTTGTTTGAAAAAAATATGTCAGCGCAAACTTTATGGCCCTTTTCTTTTTTTATTTTGACTCATTTCTATTAATTTATTACTTTTGTGAGGGTATTAAATAGAAAAATGACCAAAGTAAATCTGCAGGAAATGGATCTATTTATTTGTTTTTGCTTAATATAAAATATTTGATGGTTAATTGTTGATTAAGAGGGTTAATCCACTGATATCTCTTTAAATCCAATAAATCCCTATAAATCCAATTATCCACCATAATCATCAGATCTCCGAATTCCTCTTAATAGCTACAAATCTAACGATATCCCCCTCAATCCCCCGATATACTTTCAAATTCCCTTAATCCTTGAACATCCACATATATCCCTCTAAATACTCAGATATCCCTCCAGATCTATATTAATCCCTACAATCCAATATACCACTTTATCCTTTCAAATTTATATATAAAAATAATTATTTTTTAATAGATTGATTTTTAAATACTCATGGAATGCCGATAAATTTTTAACGGTATTTATCGGTATCGGTTAAGATATACCAAATTTGTCTTCGATATATCTAGGCTAAGGTGGATCGAGGGTATATCCGTTTTTTGAAGACGAAGAACAAAAATCACGCCAATGTTAGCGCACATCCTTAAAAGTTTTTCTTTCTAGGCCAATATATAGAGGAAGGGAGGAGTCAAAACACCCAAATAATTTTTTATATTTAAAGGGCGAAAGAATAAAATGTGAATTTGATCCTTCCTCGCGGTCATTTAAACCTTTTTTTATTTTTTTGTTTGGTCACTCGAAGGGATTATTGAAGTAAGAAGGATTATATGACCTGAGATTTGGCCT